CTACCATACAATTAGTGTTGATATAATGCTCACAGCTAATGCATTCTGCTTAAAAACCTAATTATGTTTATGCCTTGTAGAAACATATCTTCTTGTTTTGTTTTGTTTTTTTGAATTTGATTCTCTTTTTTATTTTTATTTTTTTGAGTTGGAGTCTCACTCTGTCGCCCAGACTGGAGTGCAGTGGCCGCTCCCGGCCACCACAGCCTCCGGTGATCCTTCAGCCTCAGTCTACCAAGTAGCCGGAATTACAGGCATGCGCTATCACGCCCAGCTGATTTTTTTTCTGATTTATTGTAGAGATGAGGCCTCGCTGCCCAGGCAGGTCTCGAACCCGCGGGCTCAGGCAATCCACTCACCTCAGCCTCCCAAAGCGCGGGATTACAGGCTGAGCCACCGAGCCCGGCTAGAAACATATCTTCTTTTGGATCTTTCACACATAAAGATCATGTTAAATTAATAGGAATTTACGTAAGTGTGACATTATAAATTGAACACGTTAAAATACATACACAGCTTAAATTATATGTTTATAGTTTGGAGAACTGCAACTTACAACGGTTTAATAGGACTTCAAGAGTATATCAGAATTATCTAAATTCCTTATTTCATACAATTTTGAGGCTCAGTACTACAGTCAAAGCAATTTAGTTAGAATTATGCTCAGGAAATAAACTATATAAGAAGCATTTTCAAAACAAATATCCCTTCTCAGGGTAGTCAATTATACCATTCTTGTTTATCTAGAAAATCCCAATGAAGCAATTCATTTTTGAAATTATAAGCATGTAACATCACTTCATCATTTTAATTAAGTTTAGCTGAAAACTAAGTAAATATAGACATTTATCTGAACATTACTTCTGAAATTAAATGTCTCAATTCAGTGTATGGTCATCTTGTCTGATGGCAAATCGTTTATATTTTCCTACAGATTTATATCAGAAGGATATTGTTTCATGAAAATCACACTTAATTTTACATTTTCATTTAATTTGTTCTAGTAGAAAATAAAATATTTAGTACTTTTCATAAAGTAATGACACTATTAACTCACTGTTAATTCTACAAAAGCCCTTTACACTGAAAAATGTAGATACTTCACTGAAAATATTTAGGCAAAAAAAATGCCAGGGGATGGGTGTAAGTCACCTGACCAGAAGATTTTATATATCCCTTAAATATTCAAAGCTATGTCACTGATCTTTCTTACTATTTATTGGATTACACCAAATAGGTTTCCAAGTTTGTTAACCAATCAAGACATGGTATGGAATACTTGATGCTCACATTGAGAATTTATTTTGAATAACTTAGTAAAAATCAAAGGATTTTAAAGTTTTAATTCTGGAGAAAAATTGAGGATAATTGACCATTCAATGCCCATGCAAAAAATTAAAATAATTCATCTTATGCACAAAGGCAAAAAAGAAATTTTATAAAAAAAGTTATAACTAGCATAACAACACTGTAATGGAACAATAACACTTGATGATATACTATTTTTTATCATCAACTTTCCTGTTTGCAAACTACCCTTTACTCTCTTCCACTTTATACAAAGACAGAAAGAATAACAAAAACTCAAGAAATCTGTCTATGCTTGTATCTGCCAGAAAACAACGACTAGATCGTGATAGGCTTCTTAACTGCTCCAGCCTTAGTTTGGTCTTCTGGATATTCACTTTGGAAGCTTCTACTTTTCTGATCTTTTAATAAATTTTGTCAGGGAGTGAATCCTGGATATGAGAGAAAATGCTTACTTTTTAGTCTTATAATATCTGTCATTTTTGTCAGTGTCTGTCTGAGATTATATATTCCTAGGGGAAAAGAAACCTATCTTTTTAAGTTGCGTTGACTATCACAACACTCTATACACAAAGTACTTAATACATGATTTTTGAATAGATTGCGTTCCCCATTATTGTTACACATTTCTTATTCATGAAGCCTTAGAATTTTATAACTTTCTAAAATCAAGTCATTATACAAAACCTGTCACTAAACTTCACAAAACCCAAGTGGGTTTAGTTTTAAGGTATTATTACAGATGGAGATGGAGAAAAAGAAATAGATACATGCTTATCATCTTTAAATGATATAAATATCATCCCACTAATTCAGATAAAATTCCTACCAGTAAGTTTTTTATTTTTGAGGGGTCATTATATAGTTTGATGCCTAGTGTAAATAAGGGTCCAACAAGAAGAAAGAAGACTGCTTGGTGAGACCACAAAGTCTACTAAATATCCCTATGATTGCATCATTACTTAGGAAAAACATTATCTCCTCTAAAGGATGATGTGAACCTCATTTTTATCATTGTAATGAGATAGTTTGTGATTATCCAAAAAGAAAAAAAAAATCATGATTGCTGATTGCCAAGTGATTTCATTCCTCAACTAACTTCTCTTTGTGACTAAATATTTAAAATGTAGGCTATGCTATATATAACTATGGCCTCATGGCAGAATCATTACTATATTCATTACATTTGTTGTACTTACTACAAATAATTTTCCTAATATTGCTACCATATTATTTTCTAATAGTTAATGATATCACACAAATTTTCTTCTATCCAAATTCAGTAGTTCCTGGTACTATCTAGATCCTTTATAGATAACATGTTTTTACTATTACTTTATTGAAACCTTTTATTGGTTATTTAGATTTCTGACTTGTAAAATGATCAGAACAATGTACTGATCTACCTTGCCTTCTTTAGTAACATCAAATTATATTTCACAACATAGTATCATTCTTCCCCATGACAGGTATAAGCAGCAGTATTCCATGCAAGATTTTTATTTCCTGATAGGGTCAGGATCCATTATGCACTGTCTTTGCTGATTGTCATAAAAATAGCATATTACTCGCTCACACATATTTTTATTATTTTTCTTCCCCCATTGCACCACCAAAAATAACCATATTTTGAATAAAAATCCTATGCAAACATATACATTTACTACTATTATTGGGGCTTGATAAACTGTTTACTACTGAAATTATTTCCAGTTATTGCTGCAGATTTCAATTGCTTTTATTAGCTGAATCCATGTATGCTACTGGTATGAGGCGGGAGTAGGAGCTGTGAGATTAGCGTACTTATTTAACAAAATAGGTTAGTAAAAAGACAAAAATAATTAATGCATTTTCTTAGAATTTCAGACCTAATACAGACAATGCTGTTGTGTAGCTTTTCTTTTTAAATATAAATGCCCTGATATATCAGGCATCTGACTTTTTATTTATATCGTTCTTTCTGTCCACAACCTTTTGCTGATCTCCTAAAGTTCAAACCCACTTATCCTGAAGGCTGAGTCCATTGCTACCACCTACATTAACTCTCCTCAATTCCTAAAACTGGAGATCATATTCTCAACTCAGTTAATATTTCACACAACATCTCTATAACATTCATCACCTTCTATTTTGCATGATAGTATTATGTATATAAACATTTACCCCACCTGGCAAGGCACATTTCCTTCCTGTCCTCCTTCCAACCTGAGCACAGAAAAGAATGCCCCATACAGAGTGAGGCTTAGTGGAAAACACAGATTTCATAATTAAAGTACATAAAAGTATGATACCCTATTGAAGGATAAACAGTTGGAGTCATCTCATCCAGTATTCTGCCTTGTAACTTAAAGTGAAAATATAACTTAATTAAATCCAAAGAACATATTGTTATCTTGCTTTAAAAATGTATAATTAGCAACTATTTCTCATGTATTATTTTGCTCATATAAAATACTACCTAAAATAGCGTGCAATATTTTTTTAAGGTTAAGAAAGAAAAATTTATTTAAGAGTAAATTAGAGAGAGAGAAGGGAGAAAGAAGATTCACCTCCCCAAGGTGGAGGAGGGAGACCAAAGCCAGGAAGCATGAAGCCAGCCATAGCTCAAAGAGCACATGGCTACACCAGAGACTAGCAAGGCAATGGCCCAGAGTGCAATGTTTTAATAAAAACTATCATGTGTTAAAAAATTATTATCTTTATTTATGTGAATGTTTACAAACAACACATTTAAGCAATTCTCCAATATTAGACAACTGGTAGATGGCAAAATGGCAATATTCAAAAAAAGATCTTTTTACACCAAGTACATATCTTACTTCTTGCTTTTAAATATCTATATAAATCTATATAAATATCTCTATATATACATATATATAAATATCTATATACATCTATATATATATACACACACATATGTAATTCAACCCCTAGAACCATATATATGTGGTTTCAGGTACTGAATTAAATAGAATCCTGCTTAATTTTTGCTTCTTTAGTGATTTTCAAATACTAACTAGTTAATTTACTTTGTTTTCCCTTTCTCTTGCACACAGCTCCTAAATCTCTGCTTTGTTTCTGTTTGTTTCTTAGTCCTTTCATTTTGAACTATTTTTTAAAAATTACCGATAGGCCATTTTGGTGAACCAAGTCATCTTTGTAATTCTGCTCTATAAAACACATTTAATCAACTTGAAGACACACTTCAGCAATTCAAGCATATATCAATTATTCTAAAAACCTTAAAATAAATATAACTTTTAATTCTAATGTTAATTATTGCCCTTTAGATATATGTAAGCTCCATCTGTTAATATACTTTTCTCCCCAATGAAGTTAAAAACTGTGACTGTGTAAATAATTAAATTGTTCATGGTGTATGGTTGTGATTGGTCAAATGTTGCTTCTACCCTAAAATAACCTTGGAAGCAGCATTGCAAAACTAGTCTTCAACTAGAATCAAAAAGAATTGTTGCTATCCAAGGTTATCAATTATTTACAACTGTTCATTTAAAAATTACTATATCCGCTATTTTTTAGTATGTTTCAATACAGCCCAAAACTTAAATTATCTCAGTTAATCACTTTTCTTAAGAAACAGCTTGTATTCTGAGATCAGGCAAACAGACCATATTGTATAAAACAACAGGAGGAAGAACAAAGAGAAATTGGAGAAGGAATCTTGTACTCACGGAATGCTCTGTAAAATTCTTCAAGAGCCAGGTGCTTGTCAGCATTAAAATCATCGTATTTCAGTAGATCATACAAAGTACAATCAAAAAGATTCTTGCCAAGCTCTTCCTGTTTTATCACCTAACAAGAAAATTATAACCATACCTTTATATCTGTGTCTTCTTATTTCTATGGTACAATTTATTATTGTAATTATCACATAATAGATCATTTTAAGTATGCAGCAGGGCAAAGAACTCAGTTTATGAAAAGTTCAGTTTTTCTATTACTGAACAGTTGTTTTTAACCATTTCAAAGACATAAAGTTATGATGTTAAGATAGGTACTTAGAATCCAGTCAAAACCTTCTAATACAAAAGTCTCACAGTAGGGCCTAACAAATCTGAACATTAAAAGAACATTTTGTATTCTACTCATTTACTTTGCTCCATTTGTACTGACTCAAGGAAATACCTCCACAAGAAAATTGCCTCCCATGTCCCAGTGACCTATGTCAAAATAAAACAGTGTACTTTCCCAGTGACTATAGTGAGGCAGTCTGTTCGAGCTTTCTTCCTCATATTATTTGTAAAAAAAAAGAAAAAGAAAAAGAAAAAAGAAGTCAGTTTTTTTTTGTCCTCTACCTAAACTCCTCCCCAGCTGGAAGTTAAGTCATTTAGGATTGTGCATGAACTCCCTCGGTCACAAAACAGCTATTAAGCAAATGACTGTTTCCAGGAGCCAGAGAGAATTAATGCACCGATTGATGATGAAAATCTATCCAAGCGTGGGTGAAGAAAATCATCAAAGTGCTTTACTACTCTATGTTCTGTCCTATGGACTCAGGCTGCAGCTTTTTAATACTCTACTGATTTTGCCTATTGCCTGCCATGCAACAGAGTTCCCAAAGATTTTCTAGACATTTCTTTTCATTGTGGGTAGCTGGTGAGCTGTGTCTGTGGTTTTTCATACTCTCCTGCATACAAAGGCAGTGATTCGTATTGCTTGGAGCTGTGCATTACAGAGCTTTTATTTTTTAATGTATTTTGTTTGTTTTACAGGTGATGCAGTGTAATCTGAAAACAAAGGCTATGAAGTCAGCCAGCTCTGGGTTCAGGTCCTGCCAATGCCACTGAATAGCTCTATAATTTCAGGCAAATCTCTTATGCTTTCCTCAGTTAGAAAGTATATGTGAAGATTCACACACACACACACACACACACACACACACACACACACAAAGTCAGGTATAAGACATAACATATAATATACACTCAAAAGTGGTAACTTAAAGTTATGATTTTTACATAATGTGTTTCTTCTTTGAAGAATGCACTGCAGACTCCCAGACATCAGCTTCCGCAGGTTATAGCTGCACATTTACAGCAGATGGGCGTTTCTTCTGAAAGAGCAGAGTGTTTCTGACTCTATTACACTAATGACAGACTGCTGATGCTAATTTTCAACGATGCTCAGATGTTTTTGAGCTATTTTTTGCCCCTGTTTGGAACACTCCTATGTTGAAAGTTTGGTCTGAGTGTGAGTGGGCTGTGGAGATCATTCTGAAGACTGGCTGAGCACGTGAGTGTCTAGACCCTCCAGTGCCCTTACCAAAAAGGTGACATGCAAAGTTAGCCTAGGCCCTGCTAAATAGAACTCCCATGATATAGTGGGCTCTCTATTCTTGTGCATGTACCTATTTTAGAATTTTATTATTAACCTAATATTTGTCACCTTGGAGGAGAAAAAAATTAGAAAAAAATCTATCTGTTTTAACGGATCCATATAAAGTCCAACTGAAGGAATTAACAAAATTACCTAATGCTGAAGCCATCTCTCCTATAAGCGTAATAGGAAAACAAAATACTACTGTTTTTCTATTTACAAAGCACCAGAGCTCTGAGTCATTCTCCATCTGCTTTTGCAAGATCATAGAAAATGGCTTTTGACTTTTCCCAGGGGCTGGCTAGTGGGAGCAATGAATTTCATCTTACTTTATTTGCTCCACTGAAAAATGTGCAAAGTTAGCATTGTGGCTACATTTAGGAGGCAGCAACACCAGGGTTTGGTCAGAAATTTTCACAATATTTTTAGTGACTATTATTCTCACATTTATTTGTAAATAGATATGGTACAGAAAGTTGGGGAGAAAGGATTTGTCATTATCTGTCTCATTTTTATTTCTGTTATATATTTTACTCAAATTAAATTCATGTATTAGACAAAAAGAGTAGACTTCTACTTTTTTCCTCAGTACCTGCTCTTGCATAAGGCTAGCTTGATCTTGATTTGATCTTGGTCTTGATTTGATCACTGTGATGCAACCTCAGTTGGGCATGTTGTTTTAATGAGTGTGCCCTAGAGAAGCTCACTGTCCTAGCTAGCAACTTTTTTTTCCTTTCTCTCTCTCTCACTCATCTATACTGGCGCATGTTCATGCACAAGACAAAGATGATTCATCAGTATTTCAAGTACATGTTTTGTTCACTTATCCCATTTTTGATCAATGAAATAACCCATTTATATCATGATTCTTGGTAGCTATTTCTCTCCTTTAGCTTTCCTGGTGGGATGCTTTGGTACAGTCTAGTGTGTGACTAATGAGGAATAGACTTTTCTTCCTTTTCTGCTTTTTAATGTCTTTTTAGGATATAACTGATATACAAAATGGCACATACGTGATGTATACAGTTTGATGAATCTGTATGTCTTTCAACCAGCATGAAAAAATTGGGTTTAGAGAGCTAGAGTTTTGATGGTCTTACAGTGATGGGTGTTTGGATGTCAAGAAGAGAATATGACAGAATATATATGAAGTTCCTGCCCCAGTACACACTAACTACTTTTTGGCACAGGAGATCCAAACTTGTAGGGTTTAATAGTCCTTTGCACATCTTTCATTTAGTGTCTGGAACTAGTTCCAAAAACTTTTCATTCTAGGCTTCTCAAAATGTGTATTTTACTTCTGGGCTAGGGCTAGCAATTCATGACAGGGCCACACTCACTTTTTAAATATTCTGTGATGATTCCTTTGTCAAAGAGGGCAATCATAATTTTATTTATTTTTTGTAAAATTGTGAGGATGCTGTTGTTTTGGTGAACTCAATGCTACAAAAATAATATTTTCCACACCTTTCTTTTTCTGATCAGAGATCAAGTTATATGAATCTTGGGCCCCATAGAGAGTAGGGTAAATGTGACAAAATGGATGTATTAGCAGGAGGTATTGCTTTAAGGGAGTTCAGATACACAGCATCCCAGATTTGGTACAGACTGAACTTTAATGTAATAGATTGTCAAAGTTGCTTAAGGACTATAACTCAGGAATGATTCAATGATTTGGTACTGATTATTTTTTTCCAAAGAAAACAATAAAACAACTACCCCATCCCCAAATAAACTATTACTATTAGCCTTCATTAATTTATTCAATCATTAACAAACCATTTTTTACTCTCTACACTACCTCAGGCACTGCCCTAGACTTTGAAAACACAGCAGACAACAAACTAGACTAAAATTTCTCTCACACGAATTTTATATTCTAGTGAAGGGAGAACAAAGAAATATATAAAAAGACTATATATTATGCCAGATTATTATAAATGATATGCAGATAAATATAAAGAGAAGAGAAATAGAATGCTTCCAAGAGTGGGTGTAGAGGTATTATCTCCCTGCTATGAAAAGGTATGGATGTTAGACTTCTGGGAATATAGAATGATTTAGAAATCAAAGATTGCTATGCTGACTCTTATAAAAAGTATAAAAGACATATGATTGGCAAATATTTTTGCCCATCTGTGAGCTGTTTCCCTACTCTCTTGATGGTTTCTTTGGCTTTGCAGAAGCTTGTCAGTTTGATGAAGTCCCACTTGTCTATCTTATCTCTTATGGCATAGGCAATAAAGACATAACATCTAGGATCTACAATGAACTCAAAAGTGCTAAAAAGAAAAAAAGAAAGAAAAAAACAGCCCCATTACAAAGTGGGCAAAAGATATGAATAGACACTTCTCGAAGGAAGACATACAAGCAGCAAACAGATACATGAAAAAATGTTCAGCCTCACTAATCATCAAAGAAATGCAAATTAAACCCACACTGAGATACCACCTAACTCCAGTCAGGATGGCCATCATCAATAACTCAAAAAACAACAGATGCTGGAGAGGATACAGGGAAAAAAGAAACACTTCTACACTGTTAGTGGGAGTATAAACTAGCACAACCTCTGTGGAAAACTGTTTTATGATTCCCAAAAGATCTAAAAATCTACCCTCCATACTACCCTAAAATCCCCCTTCTGGGAATACACCCAGAAGGACTCAAATCACTCTGTGAAAAAGATACCTGCACATGCATGTTTATTGCTGCATTAGTCACAATAGCAAAAACATGGAACCAACCATGCTACCTATCAAAAGAGGACTGAATAAAAAACTGTGGTACCTATACAAGATGGAATATTACACAGTCATAAAGAAGAAAAAAATTATGAATTTTGCAGCAACTTGAATGGACTTAGAGTCTATAATACTGAGTGATCTATCACAGAAAAAAAGAGCTAAGTACCACATGTTCTCACTCATAATCGAACCTTAAACATTATCATAATACTATAAGAAAGGGATTGGCAGTAGTGGGAAACTGGCAGGGGAGGGGGGATTGGGAATGGCAGCAGTGGGAAACTGTCAGGAGAGGTGGAAGCATACCTCATCAATGAGGGTACCTGCATAATGAACATTTGAATACTTAACTCTGAATTGTAACCCACATCTTTAAAATATATTTTTTAAAGACATGAGATTGATTTTTATAGTGTGAAGGCCAGCCATGTTAATCAGTTTATGAAGATGAACTGATAGAGAGATGCACCACTTATAGTTCAAATCATTTGAGTTCTTATCTAAGCCTTGAAATAGTATTCATCCCAAACAAATAATGACCATGTCACCATCCCAATATTATTGGTAGAGTTCTTGCTCAGTGCTCTTCTATTTCTTTCTTTTTTGTGTCTTTTGTACAGACAGGATATCAATAAGTTGCCTAGATTGGTCTCAAATTCTTAGTCTCAAGCAGTCCTCTCATTTCAGCCTCCCAAAATGCTGGAATTACAGGCATGAGTTACCACGCCCGAT